GCTGAACCAGACCCAGAATATCCGGCTAGATTAACAAAGGACGCCCTGCCCCGCACTGGGCAGCCAGGCCCGCGCCCACAGATCCGGGCTCTGCCCTCAGGTAGAGGCTGGAAGCACTCCATGTGAGTTCCTGCGTCCTGTCAGGTGGCTCTCTACCTCAGTTTCCTCACCTCTGGCGGAGACAATGATGGTCTCTACCCCATACATAGGGTTGGTGTGAGGAATGAACCAAGCATCGTTGTATATGCAAAACACAGCAGTTACTCTCCTTGTTAACATCAATAGTGTTTAAGTTCCTGTGTCAGCTCAGGCCTAGGCTGAGAGGCGCCTCCGAGAATGGGGCAGGAGGAGAACTGGCTTAGGAATTAGAGGCCCCAGCCGCATTCTCCACGGCCCACTCTACCTGCCTGTCTATGAACTTCAGGAAAATTCTGCCCCTTCTCTGAGCCTCAGTTCCCCACCCTATAAAAGGGGGCCATGCTGAAGCTGGCAGTCCTCACCTGGCACCCGAAGACCAGAGGAGGAAGGGCCATAGCAGACCCCACTCTCACCCGTATACATCCTCTGATATCTGGAACCCCTGTGCTGCCCCTCTCTGAGCACGCCTGCCCCTCTCCTATTCCCCGGCACGGTAGCGGGTGGGCAGGGGGATGGGGGACCTGGGCATTAGCCGCTTTGCCAAGCCTGGCTACACCTCACCTTCTTCTCTTTTCTTTCAGTGTTTGACCTCCTGAGAAAGGGGTGAGTTCCCCATCCTGATCAGTCAGGTCAATTCTGATCCAGGTCTTCCTTTCCCGTCCTGTGGCCCCGGCCCAAAGGTCAACTACTCTAGGAGAAATCAGAGACTTAGAGCCTGCCTTTGAGGAGCTGTGGGCTCAGGGGTCAGTGAGAGACCAGGGGGAACCATTCTTTGAAGTCTCGTGGGGGTCAGTGGGGCTGGACTAGTCAGAAAGGCCTCTGGAAGAGGGGGTAGCTTTCCAGAAGAATCAGGAAGAGGTCTGGATGGCAAAGGGAAAGAAAATGTTTTCAGGCGGAATTGACTCTTACCTGTATTCAATTCACAAAGAGTTCTTTCAGCTTTACAACAGCTTATGAACTGAGTGGGTGGGACTCCCCTTGCTCCCATTAATGAGAGAGAAAGTCAAGAGTCAGAGAGGGTTAGGTGACTTGCCCAAGGTCATACAACAAGTTATTTATTTATTTATTTTTGGAGAGGTTTTCGCTATAGGGCGTGTGCGCTCGCCAGACAGACAGAGACAGAAAGCGAGAAATCACCCCCCAGGGGGGATGGTCACACCGCAATCCCTTCTCCTCCATTCTCCTCTCGGGATCTTGGGCACACACGCACACGCGCCCGGCGTGAGTTTTAAGTCACCAGGTCCGGGACGCGAACCCCGGACGACTACGTGGGAGTCCAGCAACATAGCCATTACGCTAACTGCTGGTTCCCATACAGCAAGTTATTGATGGAGCCTAGCTAGTGTTTTGACACGTCTGCCCTGTTTAGCTTTTCAGGTTATTGGCAGAGCAGCTGACATGGTGTAGTGGCCACAGGGCTGGGTGGGCGAGAACCCCACACTGCCAAGGTCTTGGATGCAGCCTGTAACTCTCTGCCTGGGGGGGCTTCCTAGAGGCCAATTTGGGGAAAGGGACAGAGAGTGGTATTGCGTTAAGATTCACGGGTTTTGACCTCTATTAAAGTAATCAGCCCAGGGACCCGCAGATGGTGTAATGGTTACGTGCTGGACTCCCACGTAGTCAACAGCAGTTCGAATCCTGGACCCAATGACTTAAACTCACACCATGCATTACAGTGTGGCCCTCCCCCTGGGAGTTGATTTCTCACTTTCTGTCTCTCTGTTTCTCCAGCGAGGGCACATGCCCTGTTGCAAAAATCTCTTTAAAAATAAATAAATAAATAAAGCAAGCAGTGCATTTTTATATTGCTATCCATATCTGCAACTGAAACCAGAGTTTTACAAAACAATATGGGACCAGCCCTGTAGCCTAATGGTTAAGGGAGCTGGATCCCACATAGCCACCTGCTATTCAAATCCTAGCCCCTGTGATTTGAAAAACATGCCAGGTGCATGTGTGTGTGTCCCTCAAATCCCAATAGGATGGAGAAATGGAGAAGAGAATATGGTGTGACCATACCCCATTGGAGGTGCTTTCTCCCTCTTTCTGTCTTTTAGCTCTCTCTAGCCAGAGCACAGGTCTTCTGGCAATAAAATAAAAACAATATGTATCTTTCTTACATGTGATATATCCTGAAATATTTCACTTTATTAGAAAAAAAGGCAATTGCCATTCACTAGTTAGATTTAATCATCTTTTGGCTCTGGATCCACATGTGCACAACACTGCCCTCAGTGGCATCTTTGCAATTGTTTGACCAGAGATAATGCCATACTTAGAA